TTGGAGATTCAGTTTTTCCATCCACTGTGTAATCAAGACTTAAAGTGAGCACCGTCCATCTAGCCTGTGGCTTTGTTAGCATTTTGGTCAATGGTATGTGGATGAGTGTACTTTCCCTTCCAGGGAAAGGATCTGGAAATTTCCAAAAGGAGCTCCTGGTGCTGTGGTGGTTAATTTTGTTACTTCAGATACTTTATAGTGATGGAAGGATTTCTTCTCCAGAACTGCTCTGGAATAGCCAGACTTTCCCTGGCTTGGGACAGTCTGAAAACCCCGTGCCAGCCTCCCTGTGGTACTGCAGACCTGATTGACATGTGGTACTGAGCAAAAGGACGAAGGCCCTGTTTGTATGAGGGTGCCAGTGTCAGATGGCTCCCAGTGTCGGATGGATAGCTGCGTTGTATCTACTCTATGTTAATGTCATCCTTCCTTCTGCAGAGGGACTGGAGGCACAGGAGGCACTGTTGGGTGGTTGTAAACTGGCTTATCAATCAAAGAAACACACTGAGGATGAAGGAGGCAGCCATTCACAGACATGGAGACTTAACATCCACATGCACAGTCTAGAGGATCACAACCCAGGCCAACACCAGACAAAAACGGGAGACCCTATCCAAAACATAACTAAAGCAAGAAAGGCTGGGGTTGTGACTAAAGTGGTAGACCTCCTGCCTAGCAAATGCAAGGCCCTGAGTTCAAACCCCAGTACTGGAAAAAAGAATGTGAACAAAGCCAAGACAATTAAATGGGGAAAAGCACAATATCTTCAATATTGGTGCTGGGACAAGCTCAATATTCACAGGCAAAGAATAAAGTTGGGCTCCTCCCCACATAATGTACAAAAATTTACTAAGAATTGGTCAAAGACCTAATTTTAAGTCTCCTACTTCCAAAAATCCTCCAGATTAAACACAGGTGTAAATATTCATGCCTTAAATTAGGCAATGGTTTCTTAGCTATGACACCAAAAGCACAAGGAAAAAATTAAATGAAATAAGATAAACTAGACTTCCTCAAAATCAAAAACTTTGTACTTCAAATGATACCATTAAGAAAGGCCAGGCACAGTGGTACATGACTCTAATCCCAGCACTTAGGAGGATGAGACAGGGGTGTGGTGAGTTCAAGGCTAGCCTGGGCTACATAGTGAGACCCTGTCTTTAAAAAAAGAAAAGAGAGAGAAAGAGGGAAAGTAAGAAAGAAAAAGCCCACAGAAGGGAGATGATTTTTGAACACCACATATCCAATAAGTGACTTGTATCTGGGATAACTTATAACCAAATGATTAAAAACAGCAACCCAATTTAAAAGGCAAAAGATCTCAACAGTCACTTCTCCCTTCAAAGGTATATAAATGGGCACTAAGCAGATGAGGGAAATGAAAATCAAAGCCACAATGAGGTATCACCTCACCCCAACTAGGATGCCTATAATTTTTTTAAGAGTGTGGGGAGTAATGGTTAGTAAATATGTGGAGATATCAAAACTTCATGAGCTGCTAGTGGAATTATAAAAATAATGCTACCACTGTGGGAAACAGTTTGGCAGTTCTTCAAATGGTTATCATATGACTTGGCAATTCCACTCCTACATATACAACCAAGAGAAATGGAATCATATGTTCACACAAAAACTTGTACACAGACAGGGCATGGTGGATCGTACCTATAATCCCAGGTACTGGGAAGGTGATCAGAAGAACTGTGGTTCTCTTCAAGCCTCAGGCAAAATTTAGTGAGATCCCATCTCAGTGAACAAACTGGCAAACCTATCATCCCAACTATGTAGAAGGCATAGTAGGAGGATCATGGTCTGAGGCCTATACAGTCTGAGGCTGGCCCTGGGCAAAAATGCAGGACATGAAAGATAACCAAAGCAGCAAAAACAAAGGTGGGGAGGGGCTGGAGGGGGTGTTGCTAAAATGGTAGAGTGCCTGCCTAGCAAGCATGAAGCCCTGAGTTCAAATCCCAGTATTGCCAAAAACAAAAACCCTACCTTGTACACAAATGTTCATGGCATTATTATTCCCAAAAGGTAAAAACAACCCACATGTCCATAAGTTGATGAACAGATAAACAATTGTAGAAATGAGCACCTACACAGTGCAGTGTTACATGAAAAGAATAGTGTTCTGTTCCTTGCTGCAATATAGATAAGCCTTGAAAAGAAGCCAGTCATAAAAACCCACATACTGTATGATTTCTCTTGCATCAAATGTCTAGAATAGGGAACTCTCTAGATAGAAAGCCTAGTAATGGCTGCTTATGGCCTGGCTGGGGCAACAGCTAAAGGATACAGGTTTCTTTATGGGGTAATGAAAACCCCCTGGAAATAGAAAGTGGTGAGGTTGCACCACCTTGTGAACATACTGAAACCCACTGAATTACATACTTTAAAGGAATGAGTTGTTACATGAATTCTGTGGGGTTTTTTTTTTTTAATCATTGCATCAGTCAGACATAGTGTCTGGGAAAACAGTAAAGTCAAAATGAATGAATGTATCTACAGACATCCATGGTGTTCACAGGATTTGGGGGTTCCCCTTTGGACATGCATCCCGTAGCTACTGCACCAGCACAGCGAAATCAGGTATAAAACAGCTGAATATCCAATTGCCAGCATTCCCATAACCACCATTTCTCTATCAAAAACACCAGGATAGTCCTTGAAGGCAAACTCCCACAGATGGCCAGCAGCTGAATAAACACTATCTGAACCCCAGCCTCCGCATTCCTCACTGGGGCTCCAGAGGACCTTTCCTGAGGAGCCTGGGGCCCAGAGAGGAAGCTCAGTGCCTGCTGGCCCCAACAAGGCCCCTCTACAACACAGCCTTCCTGATGACAGCTGTGGACACACAGGCTCCCGTTTCCTCCACACCAGAGCCCTCAGTGGAGTGCAGTCACACCAGGCACTAGAAAGACCCCCCAAGCCAAGACTGGCCTTTGAGAGCCTAGCTGGATGCTTCCCTTCTCTGGGCCATTGCTTTATTGGCAGCAAAATGCAATATAGCTACGGTGTGCTCCAGACCAGGTTTATAGTTTTCTGATTAAAACTTTTAGAGTATAACTATTTTTCATGGAAGATAGTCTAAGATATACTTTGCCTATCAGAAGTCTTAACTCCTTCTTGCCTATTTGATCATCTTTTATCAATGTCAAATATAGATTCCTAAAACTTGCACTTGCCACTGAGATAACTGAACTTGAACCAGTGACCTCAAGCCCACTTAGTATTTAGTTTGATCGTTTCTCACAGCTCTTCCATCTTCTCCCTCAGAGCCACCTGTGAACTTCCTTCAGCTAGACTGGCCCTCACAATGCTTTGAACCACCAGTGATGGTAACAAGGCTGCCATTGTGTCCACCTAGGCTCTGCTATGAGCGATTAGTTGCTTCCTTCCTATTCCCAACTGTGTGTGGAGTCAAGGTACCAGATGAGGGAGTGATGCTGGTTAAGTGGGACATTATTACCTTTACACAATCCCAGTTCTCCAGAAACATATACTGATCTCTTCCTAATGTCAGCATTTCTTCTGTCTTTACTGTAAAACTAAAAGGAGTATATTTTATTGAAAACATCTAATTTGAGCCCTCCTCTTGCTCACGAGGAAGAGGCATGGGAGGCTGAGCCTCAGGCCCCATCTTGGAAGTGACCCAAGCCCCAGCCTGGAGCCCCACATGCTCTGCCAAGTACAGCCTGGAAGCCAAACTGCCACGCTCACACAGTCCCCTCTCCATTCCTCAGACAGTTGTTATTAATTTGGAAGAGCCCGAAGTTTAAAAATCAACCAACATTTTCAGCTTAAATCACTTAGGTATACATTTCAGCAAAAACTTGTTTTGCTGAAATTAGTAATTATCTGTAAGTGCACACCAGGCCCACCCCAGATTTGGTGTCTGGATGTGCTCTCGGTTGGACGGTGGCTTCATGCAGACCTTGGTAGCCCCGGTCTCCCACACTGGCAGCAGCACACTGAGGGGGGCTGGTTCCGTTAAAGATTGTGGCACGTCTTTGTCCCCACACAACCTCGTGTGACAGAGCTAAGCTGGCTCAACCTAGCCTGTCTCTGCAGCCCGAAAAGGCTGTACCCCCAGACCCAGTTCTGCCTGAGTGGCTGACCTTGCTTAAGGCTGAAGGAGGCCACCTTGGGGTTTTGGCTGTGGCAGGGCATCACCTCCAGGTCTGAGAGTCACCCAGAAGGAAGAGTCTTTCAAAGGCTGATCCTAGGGCCTTGAAATCTTCCTGGGAAGCCACCCCCAAGACTGTCATATGACCTCTCACCCTGCAGTCTATTCTCACAAGAGCAGACAAAAAAAAAAAAAAAAGTTCATTTGGAGGCCACTGCTACTCACATCAAGTGTGAGTGTATCTCCTGTTCAGATGCCTGTAAAGACACTATTGTCATAGTGAACCAGACACCTGGTCATGCTGTGGATAACAGAAACAGACACAGCCGAATGGTCACGTTATGTGAGGGAACCTTGCCACCTTAGAGTGGCAAACATGGAAATTTGTGACATTCCACCCTATCCCTGTTAGAGCAAGCACTGTGACCAGGGAATGGCACACATCTCACCACAAGGCTCTTACCAAAGCATGCACTCTCCCTGAACACAGAGAGCAGGGCGCCTCCACTGCACGGTTTGGGTGCCAGCATCAGGGGTGTTCAGTTGAGCTAGGAGGATGGATAGGACTCGAGTGTCCACTGTGGCAGGCTGGTAGACACTGTCCTTGCAGAGCCTCAATTCAAAAGGCATTGATGGCAAATGCCAGAGCTCTCAAATAGTGTCACTATGGTACAGAGCCACAGACACAGCTGGGGTGGTGTGACTAGTGCCCCTGTGACCTTCCAGGCTGTCCAGAGGGGAAGGTGAGTCAAAAAAACTGGTGAAACCTGGACAAAGTTGTATGGTGGTTATCTGAGATGCTAATACTGGGATAGGCAACGCCATGGAAATCTGAAGGCCAAACAGCAGTGGCAAGACCTCAAATGGGGTAGGTATGGTAGGTCTGGTAAGGGAGGGTGCACCAGCAAACAGCATGTAGACCACCTAGAATCTAGCCCCAAAAGTCACCTGGAACAGTGGCCCCTGCACCCAGCCCCATGCTCATCCCAGACAGATCGGCCTATAACCATTTCTCTTTCCATGCAGGAGAAGTACCCAGACACTGTGCACCTCTCAGAGGGGCCTTGTTCCCAGAGCATGGAAGTCCGCAGCACCAGCCGGCCAGGGTGAGTGTGCACAGCACAGGCCCCAAAGGCCTGTGGAACAAGGATCATACGTAGTGGAAGCTAAACGGGGAGCCACCGAGTGAAGACTAAACCTCCTTCACATGAGCAGCCTCTGGCCACAGCAGACACCGCCAACTTTGCTCATCTTTTAACCACAGTTCAAAACACTGAATGCTTAAACTCTTTCAGGTTTGGACTGGTGATTGTTTGGAGGATACGCATAGATGAAGAAGGGAAGGTTTCACCAAAGCTGGATCTTCTCACCAAAGTCCCTCAGCGAGGTAGGCCTCTGGGATGTGAGTGTGCTTTCTAGGAGATCTCTCAATGTACCCAGCAGAACCACTGTGCGTTTCATTTGGTTTTACATGGCAAGAATCAAAACTTGAAAATCTCAATGTACATCGTAGATCTGTTTTTTAAAATGCTTTGTCAATAACCACTGAAAGAGCATAATGAAAGGGGGTTACCCCCTCTCTCCCTCCAGCTGCATGCAGGCAGGACCATTCTCTGCCCAGGGCTGCAGGTGCAGGCTCCACTCCTGCTCTCCTTCTTGGCTCTAGCGCCTCCCATTCTGTGTGTCAATTGGGTGAAGGAAGGGTCTTGCTGCTGCAGAGGCCTTGAGGTTTGTTACCTGGTTTGTGTTTTCTTCTTAGCCCTGGAGCTGGACAAGAACAGAGTTATTGAAACTGCTCCTCTGAGCTTCCGAACCCTGCTGGGAGTGCTGGGAATTGAAGCTGCTCTAGAATGCCTAATAAAAATGCTTTGCACAGAGAACAACTAGTTCCCAGACGGCCACCATGCAGGAATAAGACGCTGTGCTAAGACACGTGTGAATATGTTGAGTACAAACATCTGCTGTTTTCCACTCAGAAATCACACCCTTAAAACATGCTATGTATGCAGCTATGGCACATTAGATAGGAACTCTCCTGACATTAAAAAATAAATACAGTTATTTTAGTATAAAATGTCACCTAGAAGTGACATGTATAATGTTTTTGTTTTAAGTAAGTATAACATTTGAAAAAATGTACCAAGTGTAGTTTTTCTGTCCTTGGACGGGTGGGGAGGAGCCTGGCCCCCAACCTCCACTACACACCAAGACTGCCCCTCAGTCTAGCCCAAAGCTGCCCCCTCCTGGCTTCTGCCACCCAGGGACTCTTGGAGGCAGTTACAATGGAGTTTCATTTCTTAAACATTCCTTGGAGCTCAGGGGAGCCACACCCACCTCCTCCTAGTCTACAAAGCAGCTTCTCTCAGCAAGTCCTGATTTCTTTTTGAAAAAATTTTTTTTGTGGAAAACCAAAGTAAGGCTGTCAGCTTAAGACAATGCCAGAAGACAGCACTGTCCCCTTCACTTGGGGCCTTCACTAAAGACTCACCCACAGGCCAGGTGTGGTGGCATACACCTATAATTCTAGCACCCAGAGGCTGAGGGAGAAGGACTATGTAGCCTGGGCTACGTAGTGAGTCCGTCTCAAAAAAAAAAAAAACACAGGGTAGAGCACTTGCCTAGTATATGTAAGATCTGATTACCAACACCTCAAAAAAGAGCCACTCACAGGGTCTAACTGCTGTATCATCTTCTCAGAGGCAGAGCTGAGACTTCTGTGAACTGTTCAGTCACTCATTATAACACTGTCAGGATCAATGAATGTTTTCACACAACTGGGCATCCTGGAGCCCATTCCACAGCAGACAGGCCAGGGCCAAGACCATCTAGGATGAGACCCGTTGCTAAGCAGTGACTCTCCAAGAGGGGCTGCAACTACAGAGCACCTCCCTCAGAGGGATGCTCCCTTAGGAGTGCACATACGTCAGACAGAACCATCCCAAGTGAGGCCGCCCCAGCCCAACAACAACAAACCACCTTGGGTCAAAATACTGACAGCCTCTTCCTCCGTCTTCAGAGCCATGACAGCATGAGCTCCATGCATGTGACTTGGGTGGTATATCCAAACCTTCCCCTCCCCCCTGCCCAGCATATACAACACACAATCAGAAAGTGTCAAAATGCATTAGGTTTTTTTTTTCTTTTTCACTTCAGTATAGAATAGTTAGAAATAAATATTAGGACAGAATTTATCAATAAATTTTAAACAGTTGGCTTGATTCAAACAAATGTAATTCTCAAGTTATCACAAAATTTCCCACAAAAGTTTACAATCAGCAAAATATTTTCCTTATTTTTCATGTAGCATTTTCATACAATTCCATGGTTTCACTAACAATATATGTTACAATAAGCCTTCATTAGTCCCTCAAAACAGCAATATAAATAATCAGTCTTTATAACCTACCATAGAATAAAAAAATGAAGCCAAGATTTCCAATGATTTCATAGCAGCCAGGCACACTTTTGGTGACCCCACAAGAACCCTCAGCGCCAGCTAGGAGCCTTCGGCAGCCGTGATGGGAACAAGAGGCCCTGGGCCCACACCCAACATGCCTCAAGGCAAACCCAAGGGAAGAATGCGGCCTGGGAGGAAGGGAAACCTTGCCCCTCAACCACCCAGGACACCAGAGTGCCAGGAAAACTCTGGGCTGTCTGCATACCCGCCCCAGCTGGCCACAGCAGCTCTGCGCAGTACAGCTCTGCTTCCAGCTTCTACAGCAGCAATTTCAGGTAGGAAAGAACGCCTTATCTCCCCCTAGAGTTAAAATCATAAAGCAAAAACAGAAAGTCAATGCTCGTGTGAGTGGTGTCCATCCTGACCTGAGTCTCACACTCCCTGTTGACCCTTCACAGAGCCGTGGCTTCAGCACCTACACAGGGACCCTGAGTCTAGACCACTCGGAACCAATGTCCACACTACCTCCTGGTCAATATCTGCAGCAGGGAACTGCCTAAAGCCTGTGTTGATGTGTGGCTTGCATTGAAAAAGTGACCAGTAACATCTGGGACAGTTCCAGTAGTATCCATGTTTTCTCAAAAGTCCAAACCATCAGATGGTGTGACAATTCAAGTTTTCTACGTCAGTCTGGTGGTAGGAGATCCAAACCTTGGGTCTTACAAAAGATATTTAGACGTGAGCCCTGGTTGGAAGGAAGAACTACCCAGGATGTCTTCCCAGGGCTTAACGGATGCTTCTGTTTTAAGAACACGGGCGGCTTCCTGGGACTTGCATGCACATCCTACACTCCTTATCCTGGAATATGTTTCTAGTGCTCTTCAAATCCTTATCTCCAAGACGCAATCTCACCTCAATGGGTTAAAAATGAAAACATTCACAGCCAAAAGTCACCCAACAAAATAGAAAATAGCTCTATCGTTCAACCTTCACATTCAAGTTTCGGAGACGCTGCAGGAGCAGACATTAGACCTTATGGAGAACTAACGTGCAGTCTTCGCTCTCCTTGAACCTAGTTGACATCATAGCATCGTCTTTGGCATGCACAGTCTTTGAGTAATAGCTGACTATCTTGCCGTCCAGTTTGTACTGGTGAGGAATACTCTCATAGGGCTTGAGGTCAAGGTCCAGCACAGACACGGAGAAGGCCAGCCGGGACCGTGATGAGGGGACAATAGCCCTCTGGTCAGAGCTGAAAGTAACAAGAGCAATTTCAGAATACACAGACCCTCCAAATGACCTCATCCCAGCACCCATTCTGTGTGTCTATGTGCATTTTTGGGGGACGGGTGGGGAGCATAGTACTAGAGTTTGAACTCAAGGCCTCAGGCTTGCTAGGCAGGCGCTCTATCACTTGAGCCATCCCCCAGCCCTTTTTGTGTTGGGTGTTTTTGAGATAGGGTCTTTTTCTTGCCCAGGCTGGCTTCGAACCATGATCGTCCTGATCTGTCCCCTCCATGGTAGCTAGGATTACAGGCGTGAGCCACCAGCGTCCGGCTTGTGCATTCTATTATGTCAGCTGTACACACTAGCACTTCTCCCAGGTAAATAACTGCCGTGACATGGGCTAGCACAATATGCTGAGAGGGTTAAAGAACTGGAAGATGGAAAAGCCATTATGTGGAATGTGTGAGTGATACTCCCAATACCCCAGAGGTACAAACTAATACTGAAAAAGTCACTGTGCCATAGCCAAGCATTACAAAACCTAAGAAAAAGTAAGATCAGGCTGTTGAGCAGCCAAGAGGATGAATGTTGAGAACAGATTTCTCTTTGTGCCTTTCCAATGTCTGGTAAGAAACGTGGGTTCCTTTATGCTTTTCCCATTTGGAGAGAGATCTGGTTTTGTGTTTTGTACTCCCAAATTCTATCTTCAGTGCTCTGTATTTTGTTTCTCAGAGCTTACTTTTGTGGCTTTTATAAACATCAGAATAGTCGTGCTTTTAACAAAGTCTGAACAATTACTTTGAGAATAACTCAATCTGGTACCAAGATCACTGTGTATCCCACTTTGCTCAGAGGACTTCAGCACATAGTCAGCATTCAACTACAAAGTCCATTTAGCTCCAAAGAGGTGTTCAGGGAGTTGGACACGGTGGTATGTGCTTATAATCCCAGCACTAAGGAGGCCAAGGCAAGACCATGAGCTCAAGGCCAGTCTGGACTATGTGAGGAACAAATTAAGAACTCGAGTCTCATTCCAGAAGCCAGAAGGGGCCCATGTTACTGAGAACTGTGGGAGCCCAGGCTCAGCGCAGCTAGGCCTAGGCCACGGCCGTGTAGTTTAAAAGACATCAATTTTTCATGTCACAAGCAGCACCCAAGACAACACACAGAAAGGCAGGAAGGATCGTCTAAACAATTCCTAGGGAGGAATCTGACCCTTGTTAGCTACAAACTCCACAAGAGCCAAGGGCTACAGCCAGCATGCACTAGCCAGTCACACTAACATGCATGTCTGCCCCTCAGGCCAAGATTGGGCAGGAGCTCCCAGGGACATAGGTGTCCCTCCTGCCATGTATCCCCCTGGCAGCTCTGGATACTCGGTGGGGATGATCTGACCACAGGAGAGCTGCTGCCCTTGCCTGGACAGCTGTTCCCCAGGACACTGACCAGAAGGGAAGGCGGCCAGGGGGATGGGTAGACAAGCAAGACTGTAGACAAGCAAGACTGCAGCCAAGCTGGGTTTGGAGCAGGAAATCACAAGGGGCAGCAAGGTTAGGGACAGAGGCCATGGGCAGCTCTCATGGTAGTTCAGCAATGTGAAGGTGCACTTGGGACCTCCTCCATATGACAGGGAGGAAACAGCAGCACTGGAGAGGCCTTGTCTTAAGTGATACTGTTTAAATACAGTCAACCTATCTGTGAGATGTAAATTAAAGTTTATGGAGCTAAACAGTGTCGGGTTTACTGTGCATCTCATGGGTGCACAGATGACTTGGGACGAAAAACCTTCATCTCTCTGGGTTTTCCAAGTGCCACACCCTGAACCAGGTACAGGCACCATGTGCCTTCCCCAGGAAGCTGCTCTGGCACCTGTGCATGCACCCAAGCGGAAGCCCTGGGAAACACACAGGGCCCTTCACTTGGCCGCCCTACCCTCTGAAGCCTCTTCTCCAGGTACACAGTGTGGCATGTGAGGCACCTCCACTGTTCTGCTACACCCTCTTCCTGCTGCCCCTTCCACTCTGCAAGTCTAGGCCCCCCGGCACTCAGCCCCTTGACGTGTGGTCCCTGCTCTGGCCTCGAGACCTGACCTCAGCAGGTGAATCGGCTTCCCAGAGCAGGTCCCACTCCTCTTCAGATTTTTCCAGGTTTCCTGTCCTTCTTCAACTTCTCATAGAATTATTTTCCTTCTCCTGGCAGTACTGGGGTTTGAATCCAGGCCTCATACTCGCCAGGCAGGCATTCATGTACTTGAGCCAAACCCCTGGCACTTTCTTCCCCTTCACCACCATCCCCCACCCCCAGGCGTTCTTTGTCAGACAGGGTCTCATGGTCTCACTCAGAGCCAGCCTCACACCATGATCCTACCTCTTCCTCATGGGTAGCTGGGATTATAGGCAAGAGCCACTACACCTGGCCCCTTGATCTTTAGAATTCTGTAATACTAGACTTTTAAGAGTTTAACTTCTCTCAAATGGATTTGGGGGAAGGTTCACAAAGCTTATATATGCACATTTTAAAAACATTTCATGATTAAAATAAGCTTTAGTGGGTATGGATGAAACACTTGGATAAACAAAAGCATCTCCATTCCCATCTCCCCTTTGTCCTTCACTGTTTTCTACCTCCTACTGTAAATATAATTCATGTTTATCAGTGCATTTCTTACTGCATCCTGAAATTAATTCCTGAGCCTGATGAAGAACTGAGACTGAAATGTTATGACTCAAAAAGGGAATACAAAACTAAATTTAATAATCAAATGGCTGCATCATAATTCAACCATTTCCTTATTTTGTACATTGACTGTCGTTAAAATCAAAATCATGCTTCAAGGTGCATTTCCACATAGCACCAGGGCCTCTGAGAATGCATAGCTATAAGTTCCTGGCAGTCCTACTCAGTCACATGGGGCGGGTGGGGGGCGGGGAGATGTTGACCACACTGGGTACCTTTTTTTCCCTCCTCTCCTTACCAAATTAACAAAGGAAAAAAGGGAGATGTGGCCAGGTTGGGCCCATCCACTGTGTCTGACTACACTGCTCTGTGTCTCTGTTACTTCTGAGCCACTGATGGACTTTCCCTACTTCTTTAGAATAAACCTGAGCCCATCTCCCTTTGCCTCTGTGGAGGAAGGACTAGATGTTGGGTAGCAATTCCTTTGCCTCCAGCACCAGTCTGAGATATCCACACATTGTGTGGGCCTTCTGGACACACCCTCCCCTACCCTCCCAGCAAGTGCTAATTTCTGCTGGGTGGTCGGTCTCGGGTGTGGAAAGGAACCCCAGCCCTCACATTCTGGGAGGAGGCTACACACATGCTGCTTCTTCCAGGGAGGCAGAACAATCAGTGTGTTGTTTGGGAGGTTTTACCTGCTGGCGACAATTATGAAAGTCGGCCCATCCTGCCGACCTGCTCAAAAACTAGAATAGCATCCATTGGAACCTGTGCCACCTCAGAGCTTGGAGCCTGAACAGGACTGGACTTCCCCTGAATTTGCCACATCACCCACGCTCCTTCTACACCTTATGGTATTTTCTAATAAAATTTTCAGGCTGGCAGAGTGGCTCAAGTGTTAGAGCGCCGACCTAGCAAACATTAACACCTAGATTTCAGACCCCAGTACCACAAAAACAAAAAAATTACAATAAAATTTTCCATTAAGTAGAACAATATTTTTTGGGTTATTCTCCAAAAATGTCTTTGGCTGAACTATAAGCTTTTCTTTTTTCTTTTTTTTTTGGGACTGGGGTTTGAACACAAGGCTTTCAGGCAGTCTCTGGCTTGAGCATCACCTCTAGTCCTGAATCATAAGCTTTTAGAGAACAAGAGTTAATAAGCCCCACGAGTGTAGCTGGTGCTGGTTCAGTCCCCAGCACCACACATACTATCATGTAGGCCAAGGAAGCAGTGGTCCTGTTGGGCAGGGCTTCAAAAGGTGGTAAATGTGCTTGCCCTGGTCCACAAAGCTGGGAAAGGGCAGGTGTCCCGCGGCGAGCCTCACCTTGCATCCTGCAGACATGGGGAAAGCGCAATCATGATGGAGCAGTCCTTGGCGGTCATGGCAACTCGGTACTGCTGCACCTGCGGAGGAGGGACAGGGCAGCTTAGGGTTACACCCTCCAAACACAACCCCCCCGAAACCAGGTCTGGGAACAAGTTCCTATGATGGAAACTGAAGGTGGAGCTTTTTTTTTAGTAAGTTTTTATTAGAGTATATTCATTATACAGGGGGAATTCATAGTGACAATTCTGATTAGACTTATATTGTACATTATTTACATTGCCTCATCATCTCTCCTCCTCAGTCCCCTCCCCGCCCCACTTAAAGCAATTGCAAGAAGTTTCTTAATTCTGTTTCATATAAGTATAGGAAGTCCATTTGCCATATATACCATCACCTTAATCTTCTCTCCTCCTCCCACCAGTTCCCCCCACACACTGTACCTATTTACAGTCCTGGTTTTCATTATTAATATTTAAGTTGATGTTCAGAGGGGCTTCTCCATGTATCCCCTCTGTGGGTATACTTTATTTTGGTCCATTCAATCCCTTCCGTTGCTCTCCCTTACTCCTTTACCTCCCACCCCCCTTTTACAACAGCTTTCAGTACACACCCTTATATCCTCTACCTTCACAGATGTTATGTTTTATGATATTACTGGCATTCTGTCATTCTCTTTTCCTTTCCTCCTTCCCTGAGCTCCATAGAGTAGTTCTACTATGACAAACATGTTCTACACCTGAGTCTGTAGATGATCACAATCGGTTTTGTGTGTATGTTTATCTTTTGCATCTATCCTCCACGTATGAGAGAAAACATGCATCTTTTGTGTTCCTGAGCCTGGCTAACTTCACTTAACACGATGTCCTCCAATTGTATCCATTTACTTTCCAACCATGTTCATTCTGGCTGAGTAAAACTCCTGTGTTTATGTACCACATTTTCTTGATGCATTCATAATTTGTAGGGCACCTGGGTTGTTTCCACAGCTTGGCTATTGTGAATAGATAGTGCTGTGATGAATGTCGGTGTACAGGTGTCTGTATTGTATCCTGTCTTATGTTCTTCTGGGGAGATGCCCAGGTGCAGTGTCAGTGGATCATATGGCAGTTCTATCTTTTGCTTTTTGAGGAATCTCCATACTGCTTTTTGAAGTGGTTGTACTAATTTGCATTCCCACCAGCACGTACAAGGGTTCCTGTCTCACTGCATCCTCACCTGCATTTTTGTTATTATTGCCCTTGACTGTGGCCACTTTAACGGGAGTGAGATGAAATCTTAAGTGTTGTTGTGATTTGCATATCTTTTATAACCAGGGGGGTTGAACACTTCATGTATTTACTGGCCATTTGTACCTCTTCCAGAGGGTGAGGCTTGGAGACTTGTCCACACAGAACAGGGGATGGAAAGTCTCCCAGGGACAATGCACTTCAAGCAGGACACAGACCCCGATTCCAGCCCTGACACTTAAGACTTGTCTTCAGCAAAGTAACCACAGTCTACCTTTGGAAGAAAAAGCAGGAAGTTGCTCAGCTCCCTGGTGTGTTGGCCAAACTAAGAGTACTGAGCAAGTATTACTCCACACCTTTAGAAAACAGGCACACAGGATGTTCAGGCACAGTGTTTTTAACAGCAGCACACTGGAAGGTCACACAGCTACCATAAGTGCACAGCAGAAACTGCCAGTTGAAGGGCTGCATAAGTGTTAACCCACTACGTCCTCAACAACCCAACAGGGCGGTGCTGCTGGAGTCGCACTGTACAGATGAGAAAACTGAGGCAGGTGACGGGGCTGGACCCGAGCCCAGTTGCCTTGGCTCTGAAGCCACATGGCTGAGCTCTTCTACACCACAACATGCCAAGTGCAATCCGCACCACCTATCTGCAGAGACACCTGCCAGAGTCCCCAAATACCACATATGCAACAAAGAGAGAGATCAAAAGGACAGTCACCAAAACACCCAGATTTGTCACTTCTGCAGTGCACAATTTGGGGCATTTTTTCCTTTTTTCTTTAGACTTTGATATGTCACTTGAACTTTAGATTGGACAGCTCTCACTTTTACAGAAATAATTACAAAAATTGAGGCTTGCACATAGGACTGACCTCAACATCAGTACTAGTGACATGTCACACCCTCTTGTTTCCCTGTAACCATTTCCTTCAGTCCCACAGCAGGAGGATCAGCCCTTGCAGCTCTCAGCCGCACCTTCCCAAAGGCAGGGCTGTGTGGGAAAGAGCAGAAGCAGCAGGAGTACAAGGGGCCTGTTGCTGCCAGCAGGGGAAACAGAGCTCCTGTCCTTACACCCTATCTAGTTGGCCAGGAAATTCAGCATGTCATGTGATGAATACACGCACTCAGAGATCCTATAAAAAGAATTAAAGATCTAAATATAACAAGCATAAAATATTTATCATGACCACAGTGCACTTTCTAACCAAGATATTAAATCAAGCAGCCATCATATGATAATGTACTAATAAAGGTTAAACCCAAGACATTAAAAAAAAAAAAAAGTGCAGCAAAACACAGCCTTTCAACACTAAGAATACATAAAGTGATAGCAATCAATATGTGTAGCCCAGGCTGGCCTTGAACTCATGATCCTCCTGCCTCAGGCCCCCAAGTGCTGGTTTTGCAGGCAAGCATGCCCAGCTAAAGTGCTAGAGTTCAATATGGAAAACAAGAACACTACCTACAAAAGAAGTGGACCAACTTAGTTGACAAATTTACATGTATATGTATGTGTGTATATATATAAATATATACATATATACACACATTACATTGCATATATTTTTGTATTACACATTATATTGCATATATTTCTGTATTATACATAAGTCCTACATATGAAAATATAATTAGTCTTACTATAAATCAAACAAATGCAAATTATAACAGTGAGATACTTTACTCTTCAGATAGGCAAGGCTCTGTGTGGATCTCAGACATAAAATGAAGGGGTGAGATTTTCACTTTGAGTAATCCTGGCATCGGTAGTTGGGCCAACTAAAAAAGTTGGAGAAAATATCAGAAATATCTGCTTAAAGGAAGAGCTAAAAAGGTAGGGAGAACAAAGTCGTGAGCTGCTTTTTCTAAGGCAGGGGTATGATGATGCTGAAGGGTGGGCTACCAGGACAGTAACCATGATGGACCTCTCTACAGGTGAGTACCCAAAAGGCTGCCCCTTTTAAGATTAAACAAAGTCACCAGGCCCCACTGGAACCTGCAGCTTTACTCTGAAGAGAGCAATCACCAAAGTGGGTTAGCATGACTCCAGCTTGCTAGTGTTTCCCAGCTCTCTTGGCAGAGGCAAACCTAAAATTCAGGAAAAGGATATTATCCAAGTTCTCAAATTATTTCTCAAATAATTGTGCAAATACAATTTCTGGCACACAAGCAAAAATATGCAGGCACAAGAAGACAGGACATGAAAAAGAGCCAGTGAAAACAAAGGGGAACACAATGGGGAGGAGTAAGAATCTGTCATTTCCACTCCCTTTTGCTGAAAACTGAAAATTACTCTAAAAAGTGTTTTGTGTGTGCATGTGCATTTTTTTAAGCTGCAACTGGAAAAAAAAACAAAAACCCCACAATAGTAGAAAAAGATGCATACACACACACACACAGGGGCTCCAGCTGTTGGAGTGCCACACACAAGCTGCTCTACTCCAGAATTACAGACAAACACAACTTCAAGGACAACTTGGAACTAAAAATGAACCATTTAGACATTTTAGAACTAAAAAATAAAAAATCAATATTAAGAATTCAAAAGGTAGTTTTAATTGCAGATTAGAAAAAAACTGAAGAGATGATGACATCTGGATGGATGGGGATAATTTCAACACAGGACAAGATCGACAGACCAACTAGCACTTCTTCTTGGACTGTTACTCTTGAAGTTGCCCTAGGCAGGTGGGGAACTGGCCAAGCCAGCGTTTGGCACAAGCTGAGGAGGCAGCTGACCACTGTGGGTTGAACTATTTTCCACTGCTCTTCAAAAGGCAATTTTAAAACCCACATTAGAGTTAAAATAGGAAGTGTAACACTGCTACAAAACCTACTGGTTTGGGGCCTTTTTTTTTTTTTTTTGTGAGACTGGATTTTGAACTCACAGCTTCGTGCCTGCAAAGCAGGTGCTCTACTGTTTGAGTCACACATCCAGTCCAGTTATTTTGGAGATGGGGTCTCAAGAACTATTTGCCCAGGCTGGCCTCAAACCTTGATCCTCCTGATCTCAGCCTCTCAAGTAGCTAGGATTACAGGTGTGAGTCACTGGCACCCAGCAAACCTAGTGTTCTAAACTTATTTACCCACAAAGTTATGAATGGATAAAGAAAGGCAATAATTTAAGAGCAAGGATTAAAGCAAAAATAAGGAAATGAAAAAAAAAAAAAAAAGAAAACAAGCTGAAAAGAACTGCTAAGCTAGAAGACACACATACATACACACACACAAATATCCAGAATGAAACATGGAAAACAGATGCAACATAAGAAAAGGGTACAAGGCATAGAAGATAAAGAAAATGTGTCTAACATGTGTTAAGTGGAGTCCAAAAGACAGGAAATGGGTACAAACAAAATAACAAAAGCCAAAAATTTCTCTAACACAAAGAAAGTCATCAAGCTACAGACTGAAGAAAGTTTCCAAAAATTAAAATCATTTCTATCATTTAAAAAATCCTAAGATTTACTGGGATACTAAAGGCTACGTTAAAGGTGTTACTGGTGACGGGCATGGTGCTAAATCCTGTGAGTTACCCTGGCTGCCTGGGAGGCAGAGATCCAAAGGGTTGAGGATCTAGGCTAGCCCAGGCAAAAAGTTAGCAGGACCCCACCTCAATCCATGATGTGTGTGGCGCATGCCTGTCATCCCAGTTACTTAGGGAAACGAATGGGAGGACTGAGGTCCATGCCAGCCTAAGCACAAAGCAAGACCCCCTCTTAAAAATAACGAAAGCAAAAGGACTGGGAACGTGGCTCAAGTGGTAGAGTACCTGCCTAAAAAGCGTGAGGCCCTGGTTTCAAACCTCAAACCACTACCAAAAGGGAAAAAAAAAAAAAAAAGTC